ATAGATATTTTCTCCTATTTTTAAAAATATGGCATCCTTGAATTCCATTGTATAGATATACCTTACTTTTCCCTTATTGTTGAACACTTAGTTTTCATTTTTTATTACAAATGTTACTATAACTACTAGACTTGTGTGCACACACATATTTTCATATTGTTGCCAGAGTATCATTGAGATAGATTCCCTAGAAGAGGGGTTACTGTGTGGAAGGGAAATATATATTCCTTTCACTCTCTCCAAGTTCCCTTCCCAGGAGCGATGCGGCTTTCTTTCCCACCTGCTCAAGTGTAGGAAGCAGCAGGCTCTCCACAGCCTTCCCGACAGAGAAGCTGGAAAACTTTTGCATTTTTTTCTTAATTATATATTTGAGAAATATTATTCCATATGGTTTTTTTTTTAATTTTAAACAAGGTTGAGCATCTTTTCATATGTTTAAGAATGTTTAAGATTCTTTTGCATTTTTTTCCTCAGTCCTTTTAAAAATATCACCTTTTCTTTAAGAGACAGGTTAAGTGAATATATTCTTTTCAAAAATATTTTCCAAAAACACACTATTGACAGCTCCCTATAGTCACAGGAAAAGTTAGCAAAGTTGGCTATCTTATATTTTTGTAAAGAATGTGTGCAAATTAGCTTTAATTTTGCTAGTTTTTTGCCACATAATAATTAAAAACCTGTGTGGAAAAAAGCTTTGTGTGGTCAAACTCTATCTCATTAAAATGCATTATATGGATTCTACTGTATTTTAGTTATGTTTTAAATACCTTTTTGAAATTTATTTTATTTTAAATTTAATGTCAGTGACATCCTTAGAATCTTATGCACTCCTGGGTTCGACTTCTTGGTTTTAGTAGTGAATGATGCAGGGAATTAATGATTTTAACTATGCTGCTTTGTAATTTTTCCTTGAAATCCTTTTAAATAATTTCTGGGAATGTTGCCACCTTGTTATTGGTACTTTAAACATAATGCTCATAGAAATTTGCTTTTATTTTTATTAAAAATGCCACTTATTATTGAGAACTTAACTTCCCTGGCACCTCTTTCCTTTAATGTTTAGCAACAACAACAAGCACAATATTACATGTTTGTGTATTTTGCTATTAAAAAAGAATGTAGCAAATAACCACAAAATGAGAAAGGTTAGAAACAACTATATTGTCTTTCAACTGCATAGTAACTCTCTACACAGCATAATTCTGTCCAAGACAATTTAATATGTATCTCCAAAAATACTTACTCATAAGAAAATATAGTTCAGTTCAGCTTGTCACAATATTGTTTATCATGTATTATTTCAGCCTTTTTAAAAAACCGTGGCTTCAATTATAAATGTTTCCCCATATTATATAAAAAGAGACTTTCAAATGTTACAGACCTTTTTTATTTTGTTAAGAACAAACTGGACTATCTAATGTTTGCTCAACACAGACAATCTTATCATTTATTACTTGCTTATTTTTAATTTTTTTTTCTTTTTTATTTCAAAATATTACAGGGGTACAAATGTTTTGGTTACATGGATTGCTTTTGTACTGCTTGAGTCAAAGTTGTAAGTGCGCCCATCCCCCAGACAGCATACAATGTACCCGTTGTGTATGATTTCACATATGCCCTCCTCCACCCGCCCACCTGTTTGATTTCCATTGAGTTGTACTTCCATCTGTGCACGTGAGTGCTACTGGGTTAGTTCCAATTTAATAGTGAGTACAAGTGGTATTTGTTTTTTTCATACTCAACAATACTTCACTTAGGAGAATCATTGCCAGTTCCACCCAGATTGTTGCAAAGGACATTAATTCATTTTTTATGGCTGAGTAGTAGTTCATGGTGTATATATACCACCATTTTATTAATCCACTCATGAATTGATGGGCACTTGGGTTGATTCCACATCTTTGCAATTGTGAGTTGTGCTGCAGTAAACATTCTAGTGCGAGTGTATTTTTGATAAAATGACTTCTTTTCCTTCTTTTCCTACTGAGTAAATACCCAGTAGCAGGATTGCTA